ATATGCGCGGAACCTTGTTGTAATTTTCGTTTAACACGGAACTTGAAATTGAAATTTTGCCGCGTCAACGTATTCGAAAGCAGTACAATGATGACTTATCGACAAAAACAAGTAAATAATTTGTAACTTGATGTTTATCACGTCGTTAAGTGTTCGCTTTATTTAACTGCATCACGATTTAATTATCAAATTAAGGCTCCTTTGCAAATTTCTGAAATAAAAGTGACCGTCCATGTGAGTCAGGAATCTTATCATCACAAATGGTTTATCACCAATTCAATCGACATGTTTTTTTCTTATACGCCCTCGAACTTTTAAGTTTTGGAAACTCAGGCTTAAAATATTAGTTTTGACTAGTTTCACAAATTAATACACTGAAAAATTGTGCGCAAAAGCATTATGAATTTCACTTTTCATTGCCAGGGCCAGCCATATCAGCTTGATTTGCACACTCGCTCATGTACCAAAAAATGAATTTCTGCCCCTAATTTCAGTGCGTATTTATTGTTTAGCCGGCGTCGTTCTCAAGCAGCCTTACTTGCACCTTGCAAACTCGCATATCCCAGACCAGCTCGCAAAGAATTATTCCCATAAGCACAACATATTTCCATATGAAAAAAAACTGGCTAAAGCTCTGTGCCCCAGACCCCATGGGAGCCGATAATAGCAAATTAATGAGCGACGGCTCCGGCAGAGTCAACTCTAAAACAACGGTGGAGTTCAAGCGGCTCTCTTTCCCTTGTATGATTTTCAGAACAGAAACCGAAAAAGGAAACAAAGGAGAACAAGGGAGCTGAACGAAGAGAATAAACATCAATTTACGACCGACAATGAAGGTGCTGCCGCTCTGGCAATGGATTAAAGTCGGACTAATTGCTTACTTCTCATTAAGACATTATACCTAGCAAATATGTTCAATACTCTCGGAACAGTTCCGTATTCGTTGGTTTCAAGTCAAGGAACATAATTCAATTACTTTTCGCATTTAATACTCATTAACATTGCAACATTTTTCTACATTGCAATTGTTCTTTGAAGTCAGGTAGTTGCCACAGTGAAGCCGTGGGCTTAACAAGCGCTACGTAAAACATTGGTCATCTGCTGCGGAGTGAAAAATTTAACGACGTGTTTGGCTTATGAGATGAGATACCTGCATGCAACATGTTACTTTCATTACATATGAAAATAGCTGCAGGTAGACCGAATTTTAGCAAACGCTGTCATTTCAGTGACAAGGATGAATAGAAGGTACGATATTTTTACTAACGCAAGCAACAGTTAATCGTCTGAAATGAACTTTCTTGCTTGAAGTATCGTCTATCGCCGGCGCTGGACTTATCCCACTGGCATTCAATACCTTGAGCGCAAGTTTATGGAGAACAAGACGCGTTCAAGAACAGACTAGATAAAGCTATGGAAAAATATATGTTCAGATTTGAAATGCCTAGCTCCTTATCGAACCCGGTGGAAGTCTAGTAGCTACTTCAAACTATCGCCAGTCATGAAAAGATCCGGTCAAATGACACGAGTTTAGATCTATGAACAAGGCACGAAAAGGAAAAGAATCGGCGACAGGCCACATCAGGCCTACGCTTCAGCGCCGACATCATTATGTTATGTTATGTTAACTGCTTTTGCCACGTCCAGACGTCTTACGGAATTTAAAAGACTCCCTTTTGGCTTGAGTACTGCTGTTGTGTCATACATAAGACTCGTGCGTATAGTGTTAAAAAAAGCGGTGAAAAAACGGTCCCACCGGCGTCCTAGTGGCCGGTCGCCCCGTGAAATTAAACTCTTTCGCCGTTTCTATCAGATGTTTTACGGATTTATAGTGTTAAATTGGAATAAAAACGTTGTACGGTGTTTCTTTTCACGTGCCGACCGGCCACTGAAACGCCGGTAATACCGTTAACGGTAATTTTTCTAACAGTGTAATGTGTCATTCTATTTCGATACTATATATGTCTACAGCGAGACCTGGCCTGAACATGTAGAAGCATATTGAAAGCTGTATTTTCTAGACTTAAGGCTCATGATTTGACAGCAAGACCATCTAAATGTCGTTTAGGGGTAAATAAAGCGGATTATTTAGGTTATAAGCTAGGTGAAGGTAAGCTCCGACCGCAAGGGAGCAAAAATTGAAGCCATAATGAGCATGGCTGTCCCAACAACGAAGAAATTGCTGAAATCCCTTCTCGGAATGATTTCATTCTATCGTCGGTTTATCAAAGACTCCTCCAATTTCACTGGGCCTCTTTCGGATTTGCTGAAAAAAGATGTGAAAGAGCCTCTGCCGTGGTCAAGTGAAGCGGAATCTGGTCCGAACACCTGAAACGTGCACTTTCTTTGGAACCTGTACTAAAATTATCGATACCGACCAAGCCTTTCGTTGAATGTACCGATGTTTACAATAATTCTGAGGGTTGCGTACTATTTCAATATCACGATGACGTTCCTCACCCAATATTCTACGGTTACAGGAAACTTGCGGATAGAGAAAAATGCTACGGAAAAACGGAGGAGTTAGTAGTTTTCCGATGTTTTTTATGGTGAACATCAAGTTCCCAGTCTGGGCCTATACTTTCAAAAAAAGTTAAGAGATCGTAAGTTCATCAGCCAATCATTGACACAAGTTTAGACTATTAGCTTTTAAAATAAAATGTTGACACGTTATAAATTGAAATGATACCTAGTGGGGGCAACGGGCCCATGGTGAAGTCTTGTGTTCTTGTGTTATACATAATTAGATTAGTCTCAATGACCTTTTCAAAACTATGACTAGCTTTTTGAATTACAAATTACACTTCATATTGCATGATTTTTTAGATTCGCTGCCTCAGCAGCATGTTATACTTCTAATTATGCGTATTTGTGACCACTTATCTTTCTTTCACCCTTACAACATTATGAGCGACTATCAAAGGCGGATCAATATTGCTAACTATCCTCAAACTGAACTTTAGAATGTCTTGGAGGAAATTAGGAATGACAAATTACCATGAGTTAAAACTCCCAATTAAACGTTGCGTTGTCATAAAGACGGTAAGATAAAGCAACCACAGGGCCTATAATTTCAGAAAAAAGTTAAGAGATCGTAAGTTCATCAACCAATCATTGACGGCCTTTCAAGCAAAATCCACCAATCATAGACAAGAAAATGGAGCGTAAGTGTGGTGGAGTAACGGCTTTCCATTCTGGAGTACTGCTGCCAGCTTTGGGCACCACTAGCTTTGAGTACTTACGCTCACTTAGCGAGTTTTGAAAGTATGGCCCCTGGAGTACTGCTGCCAGCTTTGGACACCACTTGCTTTGAGTACTTACGTTCACTTAGCGAGTTTTGAAAGCATGGCCCCTGGAGTACTGCTGCCAGCTTTGGGCACCACTAGCTCTGAGTACTTAGGTTCACTTAGCGAGTTTTGAGAGTATGGCCCCTGGAGTACTGCTGCCAGCTTTGGGCACCACTAGCTTTGAGTACTTACGTTCACTTAGCGAGTTTTGAAAGTATGGCCCCTCAGGAGTTCTATGTTTAGGAGGATACGATACATCCTTTTAGATGCGGAAGCAGCAAGATTTTTCGAGTCAATGATGAATTTTCATGGCAAGAATATATTTTTTAAGTAAAGGATTTATATTTTGATGTCATTTTTTTCGTCAGTGATAGATTTTTTTAAGCCAAGAATATATTTTTTCAAGGTAACGATATGATTTTTCTAGTTGTCAATAGATGATTGAATGGAATATTTTTTATTACATTTATATTATTTTGAAATGTAAAGTGTTTTATCACCATAAAACAAAAAATCTGCAATTGTGTTAAAGTGACCAAGGGTGGGCGCCTTGCCCCAAGCCCATTGCCCCAGGGGCAATGGGCTTGGGGCAATGGGCCCAAAAGTTGGGGCAATGGGCCGTTGCCCCAGGGGCAATGGGCCCATTTTGACACTTTTTAAATAATTTTCCATTAAAAATTGAATAACTCTATAGGCGTCTAATTCAGTATATTCACATCATACATTCCTCAAGTCGTGAAATTGTAACAAATTTTTGACCGTTTCTAAGTGAATAAATTTCTAGATTTGCGAGAACTTTCGAGTTGAATTTCATGAGTTATGAATACTAATTCTATTTTAGAATCGGCTGGACTGAAATTATAAGACTTTTTACCGCTTTAAAGTTAATAAATTTCTAGATTGTCTGAACTTTCAAAATTTAATTTAAAAATTTATTAATACTAATTTTATTTTTGAAACGATGTGGGTAAAATAAAACATATTTTGCAGATTGTTTTTTTTATTTGACAATTCGAGCCTGGCTTTGCCAGCACAGTTTGCTTAACATTATTTATCCCCATTAATAATCCCCATTAATTATCCCCATTAATTATCCACATTAATCATCCACATGTACGTGGATGTTATTAATCAAATAGATTATTTTTTGTATAAAAAGTAGATTCATGAATAATTATTTCAATTCTATTGACAATTCCGGTCGAAATAAATGCCTAAACTATTTAATTCAACTATCACTTTGTTCAATAAACACATGACATTAAAGCCTAGTTGGCATCCGCCAGTCACGTGACGTGGTGGTCCAATCAGCGCCCAGCTAGACAGATGCCAACTACCATATTTTACAACGATTTATGTTCGCTACCACGTGACTGGCAGATGTTACATGGCGTCGTATGCAGAAACAATGGTAAGAAACTAAGATAAAAGAGGAGGTAAGAATAATAAATAACAAGAAAATAAAGCTTGTCTTGAGATTCAATGAAAATAAGATACTTAAGTACAGCGATTCTAGAACACGCCTTCCCCCATCCGTATGAGATCAAACCTCAATACCAACCCTAGCACCAGCACCACCAGCACTAGCGGTACCTATACCGCCGCACGCACCACCAACACTAGCGGTACCTATACCGCTGCACGCAGCACCAGCACTAGCAGCACGAGCACCAGCACCAGCACTAGCGGTACCAGCAGCACTAGCACTAGCAGCACCAGCACTAGCGGTACCTATACCGCCGCACGCAGCAGCCCGCAATGTCCGGCACGAGCGCCCAGCCGTCGTCGGTGGTGGCGAGCCCCGCGGGGCGCTTGAGGCGAGACTCGCTCGAGTCTATCGTGAAGATGAGCGTGCCAAGGGCGTAGTCAAACACCTGTCAAGGGGGCAAGAGGGGGCAAGAGTTAGGCGAACACCTGCCAAGAGTTAGGCGCTTTCATTTCAGTCGCGTCACATAAAATAAAAACAACTTTTTGCACCGCGGTGATTCAATTTATAACCATAATGACACGTGTCCATAATAAATTTATAATCGACATAATTATCATTACAAACTTGTAGTTAGCTTAATTAAAGTTATATAGTTTATAGTTATAGTTAGTTAGCATAATGTAGATAAGATATTTCAACGAATGGGGGAGGGGGCAAGGAGGAGGAGGGTGCAAAGAGGGGGAATGGGAGAGGAGGGGGAGGGGCAAGGAGGAAAGGATGTAAGTGGGGAGG